CACAAAAAAAAAAAAAAAAAAAAAAAAAAAAAAAAAAAAAAAAAGTGTGAGAGAGGACAGTCAGAGGCATCTGCAAGAGTCTTGAGCAGAGAGAGAAAGTAGATTGATCATGGCCAGAGCTATCTGAGAGAGGGGAGAATAGCAAGGGATAAAGAGTAGAAGAAACACAGTGAGAGAGGCTGGAGAGGGAGTCAGAATGACCAGGCTGTAAGAAGGCTGGGCGGGGGGAGGCAACTAGGGTGCTAGCAAGGACTTTGGAATGCTGAGAGGCACTGTAGGTCTGCATGAATTGGATGGAGAACCATAGGTCCCTTTCTTGGAGGTGAGGGAAGTGGTTCCTTTTGGTAGAATGGCCTCACAAGTTCCTGAGGAATGCTGGCTTTTGTCTAACTGCCAGATGTTCTCCTACAGTCCAGGTTGAGCTGGGCCTAGACTCAATTTTGGACAAGTCAGTTGGCCTGCCCTTTTAGGGAACACCTGACAGCCACCCATTGCATCAGAGCCCCAGGAGGGTGGTTCTAATAGCCTAGAGACACAACTCTGTTTACCTAACACTTGGGGGTCAGTGGCCACGTGGTCCAGGGCAGGAACTGTCCCTCTCTTATTCCACCCTGTGCTAGCCACAGAAGAAAAACAGTTCATTGGTAAGATGCTGTGAGGACTGTTCCCTGGGTTTCTTACCCAGTGATCACCCTAGCTAGATTTGGTTAGTGCATTTTAAAGATTTATAAAGAAACAGCCACCTAGAAGTGTGTGCCACAGTCTAAAATGTTTACAGAGAAGATGTCTCATCCTGTGCTCTAAAGTAAAGTGTAGAGGCTTGTTCATGCAGGAGACTGGACACCATTGTGGTTTGGTTTGGAAGGCCTCAGCTTTCGCACTGTTGAGAATGACCAGTGACCTTGGACAGGAGATGCTGTTGTGAGACAGGGTCTCACAGTCCAGCTCAAGTTGGCTTTGAATTCATCCCACCCTCTTGCCTATGCCTCATGAGCTTGGGATTACAGGTGTTAGCCACCATGCTTGTGATCAGGGTCTCTCTCTGTGCCACTGCAGACGAAATCTTGAGCTTTGTACATGCAAGCACTGCACCATGGAACAATGTGACTGTGAAACAGGGACCTTGTCATGTGGCCCTGGCTGGGCAGCCTCTCACCAGGCCTGCTAAGTTACATGATTTGGGGCTTGGGAAACAGATGGCTTATTGATTAAGAGCACTGGCTGCTCCTCCAGAGGACCAGCTTCACAGCTATGAGAACTCAGTAAAGCCACCATGGACTACCCTACCCCATGGGTAGAAAGAAAAGTTGGGGAAATTCAAGATTGCTATGGTTATCGCTTGGGGCATAGAGAATATAGCAAAAGGCTGGGAAAGCTTCACCAGTCTCTGAAGAGACTGGGAGGGAGCCTGGGCCAGGGTACGCTTTAATAGGAAACTAGATGCCCGTTGCCTGTAGGAACAGAGAAGGGAAGTAGTGACTTCCTGACAAACAGAAACCGGCTTCACAAGGTTCCAAGGAATACTGTTTAGGGTGCTTTGGCTTAACTCAGAGTCTGGCCTGAGCTGAACCAGACTGTCACTTTAGGGACCCACTTTGGACATAACAGCAGCCATCTGTGACTCTGGTTCTGGAGGATCTGATGTCTACTAGCCTCTGTGGGTACTGCATGCATGTGGTACATAGAGATACACACAGGGAAAAAACCCATACACATAAATCTTTAAAAATTCAAAATTTTAATTATATAATGAGACTTTTCTTTTTCTCCTCCCTTTCCTTACTTGGTGTAGTAGGTGTGATTTTGATCTGTTGAGTCTCTTTTTGTTCTAATGTAGTGCATAGTAATGATCGTGTGAAGAAGGTCACGGTAATCTCAGCTTTGTGTACAGACATCTAAACCAGCTAGCCCTGTCTCTCAAACAAGTTAAAAACCAAAAACTCGCCGGGCGATGGTGGCGCACACCTTTAATCCCAGCACTTGGGCAGGCGGATCTCTCTGAGTTCGAGACCAGCCTGGTCTACAGAGCTAGTGCCAGGACAGGCTCCAAAGCCATAGAGAAACCCTGTCTCAAAAACAAACAAACAAACAAACAAACAAAACAACAACAACAACCTCCCCCCCAAAACTCTTGGACAAAAATACACACCCTTCATTCTCAACCAAATCAAGCCAAAGCAAGAATCCAAGCTGGTGGTGTGTTGAGCTGTGCAAACACAGCACAGTGGCCTTGACCTCCCAAGTGTTGGGTTATAGGTGTGTCCCTCTACAATTCTCCCTTTTCTAAAAGGGTCTTCCTCCTCAGCTTTCCTGCCTGCTCCACACTTCAGAACTGAGCCTCCATCTTCTTGTAGGATGTTGTGATTGATGTCTGGGTCCTCTTCCAGACTATAAGCTCTATGAGAGCATCACAGCCGTTTGCTGGCTCTTTACCCCTGTGCTGAGCACAGGAAGCTCTGGTAAAAGAACACATGAGTGGTCTGACTGGGCTCTGTGGTGCTGACTCCCAGCCCATGGCTTATTCTGTTTTAGCCCCATCTAGACCTTGGAACTTGAAGAGCTGTGATAAGCCTAAGACCCTGTCATGCAGCTACATTTTTTCTCCTTAGACCACTGGATGGGAATGCCTGCCTCCCCCAGGTGCATGGCTGGGCCCCACTGCATGTGCTCCATGGAGATGCTGATGCTGACACTGACGTCCTCTTCCCTGTCAGTGGAGTGGGCTCCTATGTTGCAACAGGTGAGTGCTTCCTGTCCTCTCTTCTCCAGTAAGAGATTTTGCTCCAAGGACCAGATGGGGGATTTTCAGTTATCTGTACAGGTAGGAATGGAATCTAGGAGATCTGGGGCTCAGGGCAAGCACAGCTTGTGGACACTCAGAAGTAAGTAGTAGCTTAAGGGGTCTCTTATAGAACTGGGTGTTTACAGATACTCTGGCTGAGAGCTCCAGGGTGAAGTGGTTGGCAAGACCCTAAGGGGACTCACATGCTTGCCCCAACAGTTTGTTGCTCAACTTGGCCATATTAAAGTTAACAACAAATAGTGACCATTATTTTGCACTTGGGAGATGCACCTGGATCCTGTAAAGGCTCCTATGATTTTTCTCCTTTCTCTGCTGTGTCTACATTGGCACTGCCTATTGGTGATGGTTTAGAGATGGTCAGCTTATCTGAGGGCATTTCTCAGCTCACTGAAGCATGTGGCCTTCTAACCCTGCATTCCCATTGGGTCTGACATCCTTTAGATTCTTTATCCTCACTTTTTAGCTTTTTTGTTAAGTTGAGGAGTGTATTGACTCGTTTTCTATTGCTGTGATAAAACACCATGAAAAGGAGCTTATGGAAGAAAGAGTTTGTTTTGACTTTTGGTTCGGAGGGGTAAGAGCCCATCATGACGGGAGGCATGACAGCATGCATGATGACCACCAGAGAAGGAAGTGGAGAGCTCATGTCATCGTCCTGAGCAAAGAGTGGAGAGAACCATCTGGTAATGGGTAAGGCTTTACATTCTCAAAGCCTGCCCAGTGCTGTACTTCCTCCAGCAAGGCTACACTCCCCATAGTCTCTCCAAACAGCACCACCACCGAGGATCATGTATTAAATACCTGCACCTCTGGGTGCTAGGTCTCATTCAGACAAGTACAAGGACTGACTGCCACATACTACTGTGGTCTGATATGGTAGACTTTGGAATCCTTTGGGAAGGCAGCTTTATTCTTGGCAGTCGAGATGCTGTGGTAGTTGACAGGTGGCTGCATCGGGTCACATGGCATGTGGGGTGCAGGGTATTCTTTGTTCAGCATTTAGCTTTTCTGCTGAGTATATGGTTTTAGGCCATGGGATCAGAAGGGAAATCCTACCTGAGGTTTTATGTTCAGGGAGGAGACAGAGGGCATCTTTATTTGTGGCAGCACTGAGGATTGAGCCAAGGCCTTGAGCACGCTATACATGTGCCCTACCACTAAACTATATCCTTATTAATTTTTATTTTTATTTTACTTTATTTATTTTTTTTCTAGATAGTGTTTCTCTGTGTAGCCTTGGTTGTCCTGAAACTTGCTCTGTAGACCAGGCTGGCCTTGAACTCACAGAGATCTGCCTGCCACTGCCTCCCGAGTGTTGGGACTAAAGGCGTATACCACCACTGCCTGGTATTTTTTTTTTTGTAGCTTTTAATTAATTTTTTTTCCTAAGATAGAGTTTCACTGTGTAGATCTAGCTGGCCCAGAGCTTACCATGTAGATGGGCTAGCTTCAAACTCTCAGAGATGTCCCTGTCTCTGCCTCCTGAATGCTGGGATTAAAGGAATACATCAGTAGCCTTTAAAATTCTTTTCAATTTTGTGTGTGTATGTGTGTGCCTACATGAGTGCATATATGTTATGTGTCCATGGTGGCCAGAAGAGGGCATTGGATCCCCTGGCACTGGAGTTACAGGTGACTTTACCTACTCAGGGATCTTGACAACCCAGTAGTTTTTTATTTTGGACAGTGTTTCACTCTGGCCACTCATGTTGGCTTTTACCAGCTATCTATCTTCCTGCACAAGCCTCCCAAGTAGCTAGGGTTCCGACTTGTACTAACAGCCGTGGCCCGGGCTGTCTTTTCATCCATAACCTGTGTAAAGGAGAAATGTATAGAATGTGAATGCTTTCTGAATGCTGCCGCATCCCATGTGTCTGACTGTCACGTCTTACCAGGGCTGTGTGGTGTGATGGTTTTTTTTTTTTTTTTTGCTCTTTTGGGAGGCTCGCCACCCAGCTCCCAAATAAATCACACATGGAGGCTTATTCTTGCTTATAAATACCCAGCCTTAACTTGTTTTGTTTCTTGCCAGCTTTTCTTAAATTATCCCATCTACCTTTTGCCTCTGGGCTTTTCCCTTTCTCTATTTCTGTATACCTTTTTTTATTTCTTTCTCTGTGTCTTACTGTGTGGCTGGGTGGCTGGCCCTGGCGTCCTCCTTCTCAATAAGTCTGCACCTTTTCCTTTTGTCCCTGTTTGTGCCTGTTCTTTTACTATCAGAGGAGCTATGGAGAGCACAGTCAGACTGCATCATTCCTGTGCTCCAAACCTCTGCCTGCACTTGGGGTACAGTTTGCTGTCATTGCTGTAACCATTAAGTGCCCAGCACTGGTAACCTACTTCCTCCCACTTGCTGCTCCCCTGATCCCTGTTGGCCTGCTCTGCTTCTCACTTGCTCCTCCCACTTTCTGCACCCTGCCTGCGTCCCTCAGATGGTCTTGTTATGTAGCCTTCCCTGGCTGGTCTGGAACTTATTATATGGGACCAGTCTGGCTTTAACTTGTGGCAGTCCTCTTACCTCTGCCTCCTGAGTTCTGGACTAGAACACGTAACTTTCTTGATAAATAGCATTTTTTAAATAAAATTTTCAACACATATCTTTTTTGCACTACCTCTTTCTCAGAAAGGTCAGGCTTCATGTCCCACACTGTGTCCCCTTGCAGAGCTGACCTCACTGCTCTGACGTCAGTGACTAGAACAGTTCCTGTTCTGTGAGGTTCATAAGTACAAGACCATGTCAGTCTTCCGTCATGACCCTGACCTTGACATTGGCCACTACTGAGCCCTCGGTTGGGGTACTGAGAGAACCCTTACTGAATGGATGAGCAGATGGCACAGATGGTGGAGAGATGCTGCAGGGCAAAAATACACAGTGTTGTGAGATTGATACCCATACAGAGGACACAGGGCAGACAGAGGTGCCTAGGCAGGAGAACCAGGAAATAAGAGGACAAACGTACTTCAGCTCACTTTGTGAGCTTGCATGCCGAAGTTAGGAAGACTCAACTCAGTGCCAGGCTTCACTTGCTAACTCTGTGAACCTGATAAGTCAGTGAAGTCCTTGAGTCTGTTTCATCTGTGAAGTTGGTGTAGCCTAGAGCATAGCATTGCCCAGCGTTCATGTTCTAGTCCTACCTCCGCACACATGATAAAGATGGAAGTAGCTGTTGTTTCAGAGAAGGCCCAGAGGATGACACAGCTCATGCTTATGTGCCTGTACATCTGGCCCACCACAGTGCAAGCTCATATAGATATATGTGCCAGCCACACAGAGGGGCTGGTGTGTGGTCAGTTAAGCAAAGTCAGTGCTGCATCTGGAATGTGGGCTGGGTGTCAGTGGCCTTTTTTCCAGCCATGCATTTCCATTCATTTTTGTGTGGTGTTGGAGCCTTGGCTTTGCTTTGTGTATGGCTGAAATCATGGCTGAATTTCAACAGCATGGATGACTGAACTGAGGTCTCCCACTGAAGGGTCCTTAGAAAATGCCAAGCCTTCTAACCAGAAATGTGCTGTGATATGATTAATAAAAACCCAGAGACAGACATTGGTGTCTGTCAGAAAAGCAAAACAGCCAGCCACCTCTACTTCAGTCTGAAATGGTGATCTTGCCTCCTGAATCCTCAGAATGAGACTATGTGTCAGAGCGCCTCCTCCCATCTTATATTCCTCTCTAGTGCTGGGATTAAAGGCGCACACCACTACTGCCCAGTTTCTATGGCAAATTAGTATGGTTGGGATTAAAAGTGTGTGTCACCACTGTCTGTAAGGCTGACCAGTGGGTGGGGCTGTTTTATTCTCCGAACTTTAGACAAGCTTTATCTATTAAAATACAAATGAAATATTACTACAATGTGCCATTGCACATGAGCCAAGTGAGGGATAATTCAGGTCATACTGGAGATTTTGGATATTATGTTTGTCAGCTTCCTGTTACTGTCACTGTAACAGAATACTTGGGACAATCAACTTATAGGGAGGAAAGGAATAATTTGGCTCACAAGTTCAGTGATTTCATTCCATGTTCAGTTTGCTCCATTGTTTTGGGCTTGCAGTGAGGCATCATGGTTAGGAATGAAAGGTGGAGGAAGCTGCTCACCTTATGCTGACCAGGAAAAGCAGAGATCTGGAAAGGGCCTGGGCATCTGATATCCCAGTGAACCAGGTCCTTCTCTTAAAGTCCCATTGCCTCTCAGTATCATGAACTGGTGATTAAGCTGCAGGCCTTTGCAGGACATGTAATGGCAGCAGATCCACCTGGCCCTGTGGTGGCCCGCAGGGCTGGTGTCCCTAAGCTGTCAGCACAGTCAAAAGTTCAGGTGGCTGCTGGGCCTGAGGAGGTGTCAGCAGACATTTCTGATAACCAGAAGTATGGAACCAGGATTTAGGGCTGAGATCTCAGCCAAAGGAGAGAGTTTGAGAGTTGTCCTCTTGAGAGGTAAGAGTATAAACTATAGAGTGTAGACTGCAGGGTTCCAAAAGGGGCAGGGGTCAAAGAAGTCCTGGTAGCTCACATATGTGATCCCAGCACTCAGGTGGTCACGAGAACTGTTACAGGTTTGAGGCCAGCCTGAGCTACATAGTGAGTGCCAGGCCAGCTCAGGCCATGGTGAAATTCTGTCTCAAAACAACAACAATGTAAAATTTAATTATGTTACATAATTGCGAACGTGCACATGCTTGTAATTCCAGCAGTCTGAGGCTGAGGCAGGAAAAGCTTGAGTTAGAGGCCATAAGGAGAAATAAGACTTGCTGAGCTGAAGGTGAGGAGCAGGGACTCTGCTGTAACCACACTTTAACCACAACACTAGGGAGCAAGGAGGAGTCCTGGGATGGAAACCAGGCTTGCCGTGCTCTTGGGCTGCTGGAAACAGTTGGGGGTGAGTGGAATGTGCAGTCCCTTAAGCCTGGCAGAAGCAGAAGCAGAGGCCCAGAGGCCTGACTCGGAAGTCAGAATGAACAAGGGTTCCCTTGAGTGACGCTGTGCAGCCCCAGGCTTGCAGATCCTGCTCTGTTTGCCTGGAAGGAGGCCTGAACAGCAGCTAATATGTCTGCGACAATTAACGTTCTTTTCCTATTTGCTTTAGAGATTTGTGGACTCACTTTTTGGAAATACCTTTCCCAAATACTTAGTGGCTTTTGTGGAAAACTGCAGACTTTACTAGTGGTGAGACCCTGCTGCCCTCTAGTGTCCACTACAAGCAGGAGCAATTGGTTTAACAAAAAAACCAGATTCTGTCTTGGGCTCCAGATGTGGATTTTGAGAAAAAAAAGTCATATGTAGCTACTGGTGCCAAGCCTTAACGGTGCCCGAGCAAATGGAATGGGTAGTAGAAAACTCCAGTGTGTACGTGGAGAGAGTTGGAAATCAGTTGATGGAGCAGCTGAGCACATGGTCAGGAGAAAATGGAGCTGAATGTCAAGCCTTACCTTCTTGGCGTGGTTTCTCACAGATGCCCCTGTGGGAAGCCTGGAGAATGGGGCAGGACCAGAGGACCATCTACTCCCAGAGTCCGGCCTTCGGTACAGGTCAGTGTCAGGACTGTGACGTGCTGTTTATATTTGCATTTAAAGAGAGGTGGGGCCTGTTGGGATGGAAGGCCAAGGCCTGACCTCATCTTGGTACTCGTTTGTGCAGTTGTCAGGGTCATAGATGGCCATTTCACACAGATAAACTGTTCTGTGACCTAGTGTAATAGGCAGGAGGCACTCAGTGGTGGAGTGCTTGCACAGTGTGCAAAGAGCCCAGGGTTCCACCCCCAGGAGAGGCGGCCACCCTGCCTCATCTGCACTCCGCCTCCTCTCCGCCTCTGCTGCCACACTGTATCCCTTCTCAGCCCTCCTAGTTAAAGCTCCTTAGTAGTTGGTAATGGTGTCTGTCAGCCCTGGTATTACAGGCTATTTAGGTTATGGGGAAAGGTGTCATAGCTGTCAAGTATTCAGGCTACTGCCTGGCAGCTTGTAAGTGTAGAAAGCTTATCCCTTCCTTGTTAAGAACAGCAGCAGCAACAACAACAAAAAACAAATCAAAACAAAAATACCAGCCAGCCAAACAACAAAAGCCCAGACAGAAAGCTAAGGTGCCCAGTGTCACTGTTGTTTACAGAGGGGACATAGCCACCGAGGTCTCCTAACATCACCATCATCTGTTACTCTTATTACCCCCTTCATGATTTTAATTAGGTGTATTGAAGTTATCCATCTGTATGCCCAACCTAGCCTCAAGGTCAGGGGTCCTGACTGCCCCATACTTGGCTTGGTGTCTTGTTACTCAGAACAGACAGGATTCTAAAAATGACATGCTGGGGTTTCCGGTAAACTCCAGGCTCACCTGCAGTAAGGAGGAGTGGCTGTCTTGGGGCAGCTGCTTTCTGTCTTTCCAGTAGATTCCCAGGGATGTTCACCTGTGAGTGTTGCAAGCACTGAACTTGTGTATTTGGCCAAGTATAACATCCTTCTGTCTGCTTTCTCTCAGTGTGGAAGCCAGTTCTCCAGGCCGAGGAAGCCCTCTGAGTAGCCTGTTACCATCTGCCTCAATGCCCGAGTCCATGACAGTTCGTAAGTACTTTGTGAGTCTGGCGTGTATGCCAGCAGTGTCTCTGTGGTTATCCCTGTACTCTTGTGGGCTTGGCTAGCGGGTGTGAAGGTGGTGAGTGTGTGCCTGTTGTGTACTGTCGGATCCCGTGACCAGCTTGAGGTGCACGGGGTGTGTTTGCTAATGGATGGAAGGTACCTCCTCTGCCTTGTGGTTTCCAAGCTGCCTCCTGTATGTAGCCAGCTGCAACTCTTCTAGCTGAGTTTCCCTGTGACTCTGAACTAGTCGAATGACCAGATGGTGCTAACCATGTCCAGCTCTACCTTCCAGAAGAAGCCTTAGAGACTCAGTGAAGAAGGGTGGGCATGAATGGTTTTATATCGCACACACACAAGTCAACAATTGTTCATCAAGGCAGACTCTCTATGACTAGGTCAGCAGGTTGAGGGTGGGGCTGGGGCCCCTGACTAGGTTGGCAGAGGGGGTTAGTGTGGGACTCTGTGGTCCTCAGAGGCCAAGGTTGTTTCTTGTCCTATAGACAACCTAGTTGTTTTCTTTGTTTAACCAGCTCTAGCTGTCTCATTTCTACCAATGGGGCAAGACAGTCACCCAGAGAGGTGTTACAGGCCCTTGTAACTGCATCTCAGGGTGCCATTTCTGCTTGGGAATAGTTACCCGAGGGACATAGAAGCATAAATATGCCATGTCACCCGGATCTTCACCTCTGGGCCGTTCTGTTTGCACGTGAGCACTTTTGTCATTGGGGTGCTTCATGTGTTTTCTAACACTTGCTGTTCCTGGAATGAGGCCCAGCATCCCAACTGCTCCCCCCCCCCAAAGGACCTAACAAGCAAGGTGTTTTAGCTATCCTAATATCTAAATGGACTTCAAATCAAAATTTTCAAAAGAGACCCGAAATGACACTTCATACTCATCAATGGAAAAATCCACCAAGATAAATGTCTTAGTGAGGGTTTCTATTGCTGTGAAGGTACACCATGACCACAGCAACACTTAAATAAAATATTTAATTGGGGTGGCTCGCTTACAGTTTTAGAGGTTCAGTCCATTGTCATCATGTCAGGGAGCTTGGCAGCATGCAGGCAGACATGGTACTGGCTCCATTCAATCAGGAGGCAATAAGAAGCAGTCTTAGTGTCACACCTCAAAGCCCTTCCTCACATTGACACACACCTCCAACAAGGCCAAACCTACTCTAGCAAAGCCCTGTCTCCTGGTAGTGCCACTCCCTTTGGGGGCCATTTTCTTTCAAATCACCACAACAACATTTCAGTCCCTAACAGCCATGCTCCAAATGCTAAGGCACCAACATTTGTAAAAGAAACATAGCTTAAATCACATATCAACCCTCACATATTCATAGTGGGAGACTTCAATACCCCACTCTCACCAATAGACGGGTCATCCAGGCAGAAACTAAACAGAGAAGTGATGGAACCAACAGACACTGTGACTCAAATGATCTAATAGCTGTTTATAGAACATTCACCCAAACACGAAAGCACACACCTTCTTAGCACCTTCAGTCTCCAAAATTGACCATGTAGTTGGTTGAAAAGCAAGTTTCATTAGGTACAAGATAATTGAGATAACCCCTACATCTTATTAGACCACCACCAATTAAAGTTAGATTTTAAAAACAACAGAAACACCAGGAAGTCTACAAACTTATGGAAAGCAGATAACTCTTTACTGAATTGCCACTGGGCAGAAAAAAAGAAAATAATTAAAGATTTCATAGAATTCATTGAAAATGAATTCACAACATACCCAAACTTATGAAGCACAGTGAAAGCTGTGCTAAGAGGAACGTTCATAGCACGAAGTGAATACTAAAAAATTTTAGAGAGATCTTATACGAGCAACTTAACAGCACATCTGAAAGATCTAGAACAAAAAGAAGCAAACACACCCAAGAAGAGGAGAGGACAGGAAATAATCGAACTGAGAGCCGAAATCAATGGAATAGAAACAAAGAGGACAATACAGAGAGTCAATGAAGCAAAGTTGGTTCTTTGAGGAAATCAAAAGATAAACAAACCCTTATTCAAACTAACTAAAAGACAGATCAACAATATCCAAATTAACAAAATTGGAAACAAAAAGGGGATATGACAACAGACATTGAGGAAATCCAAAGAACATTAGCTCATACTTTAAAAACCTGTAATCCACAAAATTGGAAAATCTAAAAGAAATGGACCATTGTCTTGATAAGTACCCCTTATCAAAATTAAGTTAAACAACTTAAATAAACATATAACCCCGAAGGAAATAGAAGTAGTCATTAAAATATCCCAACCAAATAAAGCCCAGGGCCAGACAATTTTTAGCATAGAATCTACCAGACTTTAAAAGAAGAGCTAGTGCCAGTACTCCTCAAAGTATTCTACAAAATAGAAACAGAAGGAACATTACCAAATTCATTTAATAAGGCCACAGTCACCCTGATACCCAAATCACACAAAGATTCAACAAAGAAAGAGAATTACAGAACACTGATACAAAAATACTCAATAAAACACTTACAGACCGAATCCCAGAACATATAAAGAAGATCATCTACCATAATCATCTAGGCTTTATCCCAGAGATGCAGGGTTTGTTCAACATATGAAAATCTGTCAATATAATCCTCCATATAAATTGAAAGAAAAAAACCCACACAATCATCTTATTAGATGTTGAAAAAGCCTTTGACAAAATCCAATACCCCTTCATGATAAAAGTCTTAGAAAGATTAAGGATACAAGGCACTTACTTAAATATAATATAAATATAGTTTCAATATAAAAGGCAGTTTACAGCAAACCTACAGCCAGCATCAAATTAGAGAGAAACTCAAAGCGATTCCACTAAGATCAGAAACAAGACAAGGCTGTCTACTTTATATCTATAAAGTACTTGGAGTTTTAGCTAGAGCAATAGGACAACTGAAGGAGATGAAGAAGATACAAACTGGAAAAGAAGAAGTCAAGTATCGCTATTTACAGATTTGATAGTATACATAAGTAACCTCAACAACTCTACCAAGAAACTTCTACAGCTGATAAACATCTTTAATGAAGTGGCTGGATACAAGAGTAAGCAATAATAATAATAACAACAATAATAATTATAATACCCCTTCTAATATACAAACAACAAACTGTCTGAGAAAGAAATGGAACACCCTTCATAGCAGCCATATAATATAAAGTGTCTTGATATAACTCTAACCAAGCAAGTAAAAGACCTGTATGACAAGAACTTCAAATCTTTTAAGAAGGAAACTGAAGAAGATATCAGAGAATGGAAAGATTTCCTATGCTTGGGCTGGAGAGATGGCTCAGAGGGTAAGAGCACTGGTTGCTCTTCCAGAGGTTCCGAGTTCAATTCCCAGCAACCACATGGTGGCTCACAACCATCTGTAATGAGACCGGTGCTTTCCTTGCCCGCAGTACATTGTATGCTTAATAAATAAATAAATCTTTAAAAAAAGATTTCCCATGCTCATGTATCAGTAGGATTAACATAGTCAAAATGGACATCTTAAAAATAATTTTCAGAGTCAATGCAATCCCTATCAAAATCCTAATACAATTCTTTACAGACCTTGAAAGAACAATACTCAATTTCATATGGAAAAACAAAAAGCCTAGGATAGCTAAAACAATCCTTTACAATAAAAGAACTTTTGAAGGTATCACCATTCCTAATTTCAAGCTGTACTACAGAGCTATAGTAATAAAAACAGATTGATCAATGGAATCAATTTAAGAACCCAGACATGAATCCATGCACCAGTGGATACTTGACAAAGAAGCCAGAAATATACAATGGAAAAAATTCAGGGTGAGAGCTGGTGACGTGTACCTCCAGTACACCACATCCCCATCTACTGTGCCCTTAGCTCACTCCCATGTGCCTATGGTTTTCTGTGGCTCTCCTGTAGCTGTTACCACCAGTACCTGACAATCTGTGGACTAATCTAGATGATGATTGGTTTGTTTTGGACAACAGGTCTGAGGGGAAGGGTACTGTGCAGATTTCTGGAGACCCCCTCCATACCCTCTTTTTCTAATCAAAGGTATCCATCGTGTGTGTGTGTGTGATTTATATGCACATATATGTGCACCGAGCAAGAGGAGGATGTCAGATGCCCCGCTCTCTCACTTCCCAGCTTACTCTTTTGAGAGAGTGTCTCAAACTGAACCTGGGGTAGGCTGTGGTCAGTAAGCCCCAACAATCTTGTCTCTTTGGTTTTCTTTTTGAGTCTTGCTATAGAGCCATCTTCTTGCCTCAGCGCTGGGATTACACTACGGCATCTCAACCTTTCCTCTTTTTTTTTTTGTTTTTTCGAGACAGGGTTTCTCTGTAGCTTTGGAGCCTGTCCTGGAACTAGCTCTTGTAGACCAGGCTGGCCTCGAACTCCCAGAGATCCGCCTGCCTCTGCCTCCTGAGTGCTGGGATTAAAGGTGTGCGCCACCAGCGCCCGGCTTCCTCTTTTCACATAAAAACATGGAAGCTTAAGGGTTAACTAACTTGGCAAAGCCTTCCAGCTGGCATGGTTGCTAAGTAAGTGGACACCTAGTCTGCACAAGGCATGGTTGCTAAGTAGCTGGGTGGGGAACTGGTGATGGACCCGTGTAGACTGAAGTTTCTGTCCCACCAGGTCCTGCAGCTATTCAATCCCAAATAAACACACAGAGGCTTATATTAATTATGAACTGTTTGGCATATTAGCTCAGGCTTATTATTAACTAGCTCTTACAACTTAAATTGGTCCATAATTTTTATCTATGTTTAGCCATGTGGTTTGGTACCTTTGCTTAGTAAGACATTCTCAGCTTTCTCTGTGAGTGGTGACTAACTCTCTGCCTTTTCTCTTCCCAGAATTCTTCTAGTCTGGTTGCCCCACCTATACTTTCTGCCTGGCTACTGGCCAGTGTTTTATTAAACTAATACAAGTGACAAATCTTTACAGTGTACAAGAGCATTGTCTCACAGCAGACCTGGTCTT